TGATAACTTCCTAGCTGTCAGTTGTGAGGTTCTCCAGCCTAATTATTACCTTGTGTTTTAAGCTGTTCATTTCAAAAGGATTTGTGAAGTTTAGAACTTGAGAACAGCACTCCTATACACCAAACTTGCGCCAAAGCAGAGACAAGACAGAGCGCCAAGAAATAACCACTGCCCTCTGCCTCGCAGTGCCTGGCTAGCAATAACGTCCCGCCGCGGCGCGGCAGGCGCTGCCTGCCCGAGTGACACTCACGCCGCCCCCGTCGCTGCCGGCTCTCCGAGCTGAACGTGCTGCTCTCAGCCAGCAGCTGAGCGCTGCATGTGCACAAAGCTCCCGTGCCCACAGACTGCACGTAACGCTAAGGAATAGCTGCTCAAACAGGAGCCAGGCCTGGTTTCTTTCATTAGGAAGCCAACGCAGACTCTGACATCTCAGAGAGGAAGAACATGATTATAAAGTATATAATAATCTTGTCTGTAAACTCGCTAGCTGCATCCTGAATTCCTACTCTCATGCTTTCCGGGTGATCTCTGTCACTGCCTCCTGATCCCTTGGGAATATTCTGGTGCTACCAAGGCTGTCACACACAGCCCTGGTAGCCTGCAGTTTGAACCTTGGCTACGATGGCTGCCAGCAGTAAGTAAGAAAGCACCCCCAGAGCTCAGTACAGCTCCTGTCAGCATCATCAGCCCTCATCACAAGTGGATGAAGCTCTTCAAGCCATCTGCGATCCTCTAGTCAGTGGACTGCAATACCTGCTTCCAGCATAGCCTAACATGATCCCAGCAAGAGACATATTTTTGTTAATACCTAAGCATGCACTCCACACCCACTGTTCCTACCTGCACTCTTAAATTTGACCTAGCGCACCACTGTCAACAGCTCTGCTGGAGATGTTCTGCCCTGGCTGAGCTCACCATGGAGCCGCTCTGCTGAGAAGGGGCCACACACAGCTGTGTTGTGGACAAGCGCAGACAACGCATGTGGCAGAGGGGCCTGAGGGACACTGAGTATCACCATGCTGCCCCAAATGCCCCAACTGTGTAGGCCCTGAAAGAGCCATTCTAAGGATCTGGTCCCCACATACCATTTAATTCTTACCTCCAGGATTTATAACCAGGCTATTGCTTTCATTTCTACTTCCTCCTACATAATGCTCTCCCCTCACCCCTCTTTTTTTTTTTATTTATTATTATTAGAATCCTTGAGTTTTCCGTTGCTGTTGGGCATTTAGTGGAAGTTGTTTAAAGAAATGGAACTGCCTCTAGAAGTTGTTAAGCAGGACAAGTTTCTGCTCTCAAACATGCCTCAGTATCAAGATCACACACAGAGAGTCTCCTTGAAGATTTTTGTCTCCAGTACCCACTTCCAAGAGATCGTGTAAGTGCCACAGTAGAACAGTCACACAGAGCAATGGAGTTGAAAGAAATTTTAAAGAAATTAATGACATCCCTATAGCACCTGTTTTCTTTGGATATTATTCTTGCTGTTTTGAAAGCAAGAAAAAATACAAAATAGCCTTTCCCTCACCAAAGCACAGCCTTTCAAATCCACAGCTTCCAAATGAAGCTTTTCCAAGACATGTAGACATTGTTGATCATTATTTTTTAAGATGTTAAAATGGCCTTCAAACTCAGCCATAGAGGACTGCATATATAAAATCTCAAAAACATCTACAGTTAGAAAGATTTACTGATCCATTTCCTTTTTAGTTTCCACTCGAATCCAGGTACACCTAGCATTTGAGGTCTCTAACATCTGAAACAGAACAGGGAATAAAATAACTTACCGCAGGTTATTTCAAACGTTAATAATGTCATCAACTGTTTTATGAATGCAGCTTTCTGAAATAAAGCTCTGAAATACAGAGCAGCACAAGTCCTGCTACAGCCAAACTAAGCTGCTCTTTACACCAGGTTCTCCTGGGGTAAATCCACATCCTAAAAGCAGTTTACCTTCATGACACTACTCATAAGTGATCATCACTCCACTTTTACTCTTGAGGAAGCACAAGCAAGATAAAGTATTTGTCTAAAATCATAGAGCAAGTCAATAATAGGTGCATTCTGCAGACCTCTGTAAACTTGGTGCCTTGCTCTAATAAACAAAATAGAATAAAACTTTTTCCACGTTGAGAAACTTGGTTTTTTTTCAGGTTAATACTTTCCTGAGTATTTATATTTTATTTATATTTATATTTTAACACACTGGAGTATTTACCAGAAATACTCCTAATTATTTCTTCCCCCCCAAATATGAATTCAGCCCAGTATCTATTAGTTTGTTAAACGACAGAGCATAGCATAATGCACTGTTACAGAGAGGGAAAGAAGTTAAGTGCCCATTTTCCCCTTTGCCTCAATTATGGAGTGGAGAAAAGCTGTATTTCCAGCAAGCAATGAGTTTTTCTAACACTAAAATGAACTCAAAACTGGCTGCATCTTCATTAGCTGAGGGTGAAAGGAAGCAAAGGGGAAGAAGTTATTCTGAGCAGGTATAATTCTAGAGACGGAGTACTAATGCGATCATGGACAGTTAGATGAGGCAATATTGATCACACTGGTATTACATTAATAAAAGTTATAATTTTTCTTTAAAGTTACTTTGCCTCATCTCATTTGCTTTTGTAAATACTGCAGAGAAAAGATGAAAGCCCCAAATTTGTTATCCTTGTCTGTTTTACACTTGCTTACTTCTCAAGAACTTCCACCAATTTCTCTTCTCTTCTTCTGTATTTTTTGGATATACTGCTGTGTCTCCCCAAAGTACATTCCCAGGGTGATGCTTTGATTCCAGGGCAGGTTTACTCTTTCAGGATATAGACAAAGAGGATCAATACAGATGAAGGCGAACAGGCCTCATCATTTTGATGACAAGAACTTGTCAAAATCCGTATATAGCCAGGTGTCTCAGAACAAATAAAGTACAGAACCCCAAGTCTGAGTTGTCTAACATTTCACTTCTGAGCCCATATCTGTGCCTAGCACAGTAGGACACGTTTCAAGAAACAGAATACCTGTGGAGTTCACTGCCTTCAGTAAGCTCTGCGGCTGCTGTCCTTCTGCAGGAGGCTAAATGTGGACTCAGAAACATAACCGTGGCCAGTGCTATGTTCTATATATTGCTACACATACAAACAGGTCTATTCACATGACAAAGTTTAAGCTCGTATGTATTTACTGAAACAGACTTTAAGCCACTTCTTGATCCACGCACACTTTCTCACTCTTGCTTGTTTGTAATGGTAAGGGTTGAAGTGTTTCCCAGGAACAAGAAAGATGCTTTTGATTTTTCCTCTTTAAATTGCAGTGAAATACTTTTATTGATCTTTGGTTTAATTTTAGAGGACAGCAAGTTGTGCTGGACAACTACAGACACCAGCCTGTCTACAGTAACTGCTGCAGTGATTCTACTGTAGCATTTCTGAATCAGTTTTAGCTCCACCGAACCAACTTATCTGACAACTCTATCTGCTCACAGCCATAGTGAGAAACAAAACACCAGGCAGGAGCATCCCTCCTCCTCAGGCAATAGCCTCTGCTAGTGGGAGCCTGGGCCATGCCGCTCCCTCCTTGCTCCTCTTCCCAGCAGGAACACCTGTGGCCCAGGACCCCACATGCTCTGTACACTTCCCAGCACATCACGCTCACAACACTAAAACACCGCAAGGACATTCCTGTGGGGTTGAGACAAAGTAGGAAGTTTCTAAAAGCATTTAAAGTTAGAATGAAAAATTTACCATTACAGGACAGAGCAGCTGTGTATTTCACCAGCTCCTACGGCATTCAGGTGATTGTGGCAAGAATTTGGGCACTCCTCACAACACCAACACTGCAAATCCTCTAAATCCATCTCTCACAGAGCTTAGAAAATCTGGTATCAATAATCATTCAGCAAAGGGTATTGAGCAGGAATTACATAGCTCACCAGAAACACCGTTACCAAGCACTTCTCGAGTTAATGAAAATGGTGAAATAAAGCTGTTGAGCTGCTATGAATTGGTGTAGATCTACCGATTTCAGTGATCATACAGAACCTTTCAAATAACTCACGTAACAAGCTTGGTGTAGAAATAGCAGCAGCAGTTTGGTATCGGTACCTATTTCAGGATTCCTCTGTATGTGGTACCAAGCCTACCCCAAGCTAACTGTGCGAACACTCTGCTCCAGCCACTCTGCCTTCACGCCCACGAGCCTCTTCCCCTTAGGTAACAGGGTCTGGAAACCGAGAGGTTGCAGTTTCAGAGCACACACGAGCAAGGCCTGGCCTGGCCAGGCACTACGGCAATCACATTCTGCGCTTCCTGTTCCCCGACAGGGACTGACACTACATTACATGATACATTTATGTCATCACTAATCCTAAGGACACTGGAGGAGCCTAGCTCTAAAACCAAATACTGAATACCAGTGATACACAGGTCCTCACCTCATGAAATACTTCATACACATCCTCCAGGCAATTAAATTGTATTTAAAAATCTTTTTACTATTGCACACTTAATTATTGTATTTTAATTAGCAGGAGTTACCTAGAAAACAGTTTGAGCCTGTATTCCAGCTTCCTCTGTTCCAATACCTAATTATTCAGGGTACAATACAACTTCTCTGGGCAAGAAATGAGTCATAAAGTGTTGTCCAGTGCAAAAGCAGAACACCTGCTTCTAACAGTAACACTAAGGCTAGCTGGAGTGAAATTCAGTACAAAGAAGCAAGAAGGCAACAACCGCACGAGAAAACCTTTTTTATATGACCATACACAAAGCAGTATTGATACTAATGTAAGGAAGTAGAACAGAGAGTAAAAAAGAAACCTAATTTTGGAGAAAAAAAAAAAAAGAGGATCAAGAAAAGAATAGATGGGGCAATGTATGCAACAAAAAATACATGATCGCTTTTATTCTTTGCTATTGTTGTTGCAACTTGAGAGGGCTCTCATGACAAACCATCATGCTGCAATGTACAGAGTACTTAGAAACTCACAAAGCAATAAAACCACATAGATCCAAGTGCACTCCCAAGGTAGAATCCATCATTTTACAGTGTTTCTCCACCTCCCACACACAGCTCACATGCCAAGCCCTCTCCAGCTGGGAACAGACAGCCTGAGTTACAGCTCTTCCCAGCATCTGCAGAGCAGTTCATTATTTTGTTGAAGTGACGTTATTTCTTCTTGAGAGCTCTCTTTCCTTCTCCCTTTTTCGGTTTTTCCTTCCCACGGAGCTTTTTCAACCGTTTCATCTCCTCTTTAAAGTCTTCATGCTCATCTCTAGAAAAATAAGAAAGATTGGTAGGAAAACATTATTTCTTGACTTACCTACATGTGAAAGGTTCTTTGAACTGTATAACAATGAAAAAAAATCATCCTTTTCCTAACAGTAAAGCCCATATTGAACCTCACAGTATCCAGTGTTGCTGCTAACAATAATTGTGGACAGAATAATTTGCTCAGTACTTTCAGAATTAACAAGGTTGCTCTTTTCAGCAAATGTCAGGTGTGCACATATATACGCATATTTTTTGCATTGTATTTATCGATCCATTGTGTTTAAATGAGCAGGAAAAATACAAAAAAAAAAAAACAGCAAGAGACAAGACAGAGAATTTCCCCCTTCTCATCTCTCTCAGCAGTCTGGCAATAGTGCATTGTGTTTCTGTGCTCAGTACCAAGTTCAAGTCATTGCCTCTTGTGGAGAGGGGCCCGCTGAGCTGTAACTGCAGCGCATGACTCTGCTCTCAGGTGACCACAGGAACGAAGCATGGAGACAGCCTCACCTACTTGTAGAATCTTAACGGAATAAGTCTAAGATGGAGAGGAGGATGAAGGGGCTGGAGGAGGCTCGATGATTTTCAAATAAATTCTATTTATAATCTGACCCTACACTTTTCAGCCCAAAGTTATTTTTAGAAAGTCATGTAACGGCATCCTAAGATGGCCTAAGATTGCTGCACTGCTATTTTTAAAACAGAGCTTTTGTAAAGAAGAAACAAAAAGCTCATAAGTTATCATCAGACTTTTTTTTTAGCCTTCATTACATATTCCTGAACAGCAAAGCTGATCCACTACAAGCTCTCCGTACACAGAGCAGCTAGAAGAGGAATCTGAGGAGATTAAGAAGGGAAGAAGAAGAAAGAATATTATCAAGTAGGTGAGACTTTTTTGTGCCAATAGGCAGCTGTTCTAGGAAGTATTTGCATGCCCACCTAAACCAAGAACATCCCAGATGAACAGTCATCTGAAGCGTTATGAGACCTGCAAAAGAAACTGATCTGTTTTGACTTTACAGAGTTACCAGCCTTGCTTTTCAGGGATTTCTTCAGTGCCTGATAATTTCTGTATCACCCAAACCTACACCTCATTTGCTTTTAGTTTATTTGAAAGGCTTAAATAACCTCCAGCCTAACACACAGACTTTCTTTCTCTTCTGCATTTCAGTATTAATTGTCCAGTGATTCATGCATAAAGGGTCAGATCATCTTAATGCAATTTCTTTGTTAAGGTAATGTTACCTTTCCATCACACATTGATTTAATATTCTCAAAACTACAGACCCCTTTCTTGATGAAAAAGCTCTTTCCTCTTCCCTATAATGCTGGAATAAGTACTGCTTCTCAGGTAACTGACTGACCACAATTACCACTGCAGTTTTTCTTACATAAAGGTCTATTCGTTCAAACAAATCCAAAGAAAAGTGACTTAGCGGTTGCTTATTTTGGTCATCTTGTCCTCTATGCAACAGTCAGTTGTATAGTTCCATTTCGTATTATGGATTGAACCTTTTCCAGTGTTTCCTCTTCTCTTTATGGAAGCAAAAACCCCCAAAACTGTAAGTTATCTCACATCCCTCCCCTCTCCTCACTCCAGTCCTGCTCCATCCCGCGAACCCAGTCATCACCTGTAAAGGCCAAAGTAGCGGAGTTTCTTCATGAGGGCATAGTAGGTGTTGTGAGGAGGATACCAGTTGTAGACCTCCTTCCGCTTGGCCAAAGGCTGCTCACTGAATAACTTCACTACTTTCATAGATTTACTGTCAGTTGGTCTGGCCACTTCTCCAAATATCTGAGCACTCAAACGGGCCATTCGTAGCGCGTAGCTGGAGACACCGGACATTTCCCAAGACAGATCTTCTGTGCACACACATAGACCTTCCTACAAATGGAAAAAAAACCACCACAACTTTTTAAGACAAATGAGTATTCCAAATTTTCCCAGGCTTAAGGCAATCAAAACAATTCATGGTACAAGGATCACGTGTTTGAAGTCCTACAGTCCTTGCATGAAATTGATCTAATTCTTAATACATAATCCTGCATATAAAGAATATATTTACACTAACCTACGTACAATTAGAGGCTTAACTAGAACAGTACAGGAAGCCATATGAACTAAAAAAATCTACACCAAATGGCATCTTATTATTGCTAGCTCATTAGTGGCTCCCACATAGCTTGCTCAAAACTGGCTTTGCACTCCAGTCACAGAAATGACTGCAATATGAACTTTGCCAAAAAATAGGGCCTGCTGTCAAAGTCCTCTGGCTTCTTTACATAATCTTCACGGGCATGAGATAGACACCACTCAGCTATGCTGGGCAGGCGACCTGCAGACTTTGCTCATGAAAATTTCTTATCCTATTTTAAATATTTTATAAATGGAGGAGGCTTTCTTTCAGAGCTTTATTCATCTAGGGAAAAAAAAAAAAAGGCTTGTTAACTGTATAAAGAAACAAAATAAAAGCAACAGTCTGTATCTCTGATGTTGGTTTTCAGCTCCCTGCCAAAAACTAGATGTGCCCAGTTCTGCTCCCTTAGCTAGCTCCACTGGGGAAGCCAGTGTAAGGAGAGAAGTAAAATCCTTTTCCACGAAAGATCCCTGCACAGGAGGGTCAGTAGTCTCCATCTTATGGATGCAATTGGCAAGGATAAGACTCACATAACCCTTTAAGTATTTTAGGCATTATGTTGCCTGTACTATGCCTGTTCAAATAAGTCACAAATCTTCCAACACAGTAAGTGAGGTTCTTTCACATGCACCACTTATTTAAATATTAAAATTCTTGTTTTTGTAAGTATTGCACAGCTCATTCCAGAAACCCACAGCTGAATAAAGATGAGCATGAAATATTAAAGAGTATGGAGCAGGGATAAATATAATCAACAGGACACAGCTCAGTCAATTTTAGTAAGATAACAGGAACCCTGTAGTTTAGTAACATGAATCTGCAGTATTCATAACCTCACTTGTGTACTTCTATCCACTGGAGCCCTTTATGTACAACTGTCTACGCTAATTTACTTGTTAGCTGTTAGTAAAGCATTAGAAAAACAGAAAGAAAATCAAGTCTGAGAAAAATACAATTGTTGTGGGTGAAAGACAGTAACAGAGCAACAAAGGGAGGGCAAGGGATCACAAGATCTCAAGCTGCAGCAACAGGCCTGGTGTGAGGGGACAGAAGCTCTTAAATGATTCCAGAGAAGCTTCAGCTAGAGCACTCACTGTAAGGGAAGGATAAATCAACCTTGCTAAGTAAATTGCAAAACTGACAGTCCGAACCCCTCCACTGAGAGAAAAAGCAGCAAGTTTCCTCCATAACTTTTCAGCACAACATTGCAGCCAACCCTAACACAAAGTGTGCCTCTGTTACAGCCTTACAACAAGGGCGCCTTTAGCTCCTAGATGATGTAAACCAGCGCTCTCAGGGACCAGCTCTCCACTCTGGAGTGCCTAAGGGAACCCCATGAATAGCCCAATCCAAGGCTGGAGACCTCAGCTAACCCTTATCTACCTAAGGATACTTGAGAAATTAGAAGGGTGAAGACTGGAAGCTCCCAAGTGGCAGAGCTACGGAAAGCTTGTTTTACAACAACCTAAGGCTCTG